ATAATATATAGTCATAGTTATACATATATACACATATCACCATATATACGATACTATTATACCTACACTACGTACACATATACATATAATAGCCCTTATATACCTATACATATACATATACATATACATACATACATATACATATACATATATATATATATATATACACACATATACATATATACATATATACACACACACACTATATATATATATATAGTATAATAGTATAAGTATATAATAATAATTTTAAAAAATTAGCAAGCATGTAAACAGCATAGTTTTGTTATTTCTTTGCTACAACTTGAAGCAATGGTGTTGTATATATTGAAAGTGTGGTTGTGCCTCCTCCTGCAGGCAACAACATACATTTGTTGTTGAAATAAAAACAATGACCTCATAAGTGACTATTACGGGTGAAAAGGATATCTAATTGTTAGTTAATAAGATGTAGTTTTTTTTCAATCTTAAGTTTGTTTGTGATTGCTACCTAGCTAGCATTAATGACCACTTGTGTTTTGCAGTGAATAGGAACTAAACCCTACGCCAATCTGTTGATGCACGAGGTTAACTATTGTTTTTTTTTTAATTAAAGAAAAAAGAAACAATGCTAATGTTTGTTTCTAAACACGTGAAAATTAAGGAATTTATAGGGACTACATATGTGGCACAGTGTGCGAGTATCACTTGTACCAACAAAGTAAATAAAAATGTACTAGAAGTCATTGTGGAAAGTGGAACTGCACATGTTTGAAAAGTCAAACAACAGCATTAAACAAAAGATATAGGCGGCGTGGGTGGTGTTGGACAGAATGCTCACTAATAATATTCGAGTACACAACACTAACGAATCAAGCGCCTTTGTATGTGAAAACCTGCAGGACAATAAAGCTGATTCCGATTCAGTATTCAGTATATTATATTTCAGTAGCAGCATAAACGTACAGAGGCAGGGGACATGTCCCAATCCCTGGTTGACTCCGGTGTCCCGTTGTCCTCTTTCAGACTCCTGTCCAGCAGCTTCTTACTAGCTGGCTCCTCTGCATCCAGGATATCCAAGGCCTGCTGGAACTCTTTGGCAGCATACTAGACAAGACAGAACATTGTAAATCATGAACAATATCTGTCAGGTTTTCTGGAGATAATGTTATACAGCGTACAAACACGTATAGGAGGGTTTAGAACTGATGCATTTTACAGTTACTCACATGACACCTAGCAGCAAGATACTGACAGGCTCCGTACAACTGTGTGCGAAAAGACAAGTGTTGTTTCAGACTGGAATAATCTTTATTCAAACACATAACAAAATCTTAAACGGATCCTTGAGTCATAAATATTCACTTCCCAGCACATAGCTTTGTACATATCGTCAACTTACACATAACTTGCAGTTACCTTGTCAAGTTTTCGTGAACGGAGGGCGTGGGAGGCTCTGTGGTACTGTGAGGTCAGATAAAGGCACTGAGCTAGCCAGTAGATATCCTGGGGATCCTCTGAATGCCAAACAAACAGTTAGGGTTATCCATTTCTGCCGATAGAGAGTTATCACTTACAGGCTAAACATCATCAGGCAGGCTGTTGGCAGGCTAACGTTACTGTTTCATCCTCCCTAACCACTGGTAAAAAGTTTATTTTCAGTTGTGATGGCACATTAACAATAACAAACAGACCGGAACAGAAATAATATCCCTATAAAACACCAGTCATACTAACATACGCTTTGTTCCTCTGGGTGACAGATTGGGAGGATCATTAGCTAGGCTAGTCATGAACAGTAGTAACGGCAGCCACTCACCGTGAGAAAGGGACGCTATCTTGTCGGCCCAAAAGAGAGCACTTTGATACTGCTGCTGTAAATACACACAAAACAGGGCAAACATCACTCAAATGTCTATGTGTTGCTGTGTCTGCCTGGCTGGGTGATAGCTTGAACTTAGCCAGAAGCTAAACTATGAAGGCTTCTTACCATTGACGCCAGGTTTGCTCTCAAGCTAGCATTAGCTAGCGATACAGAAATAAGTCAGAAATCTTACCTGGTCAATGTACTGCCGGACCCGCTTTCGAAGTCTGTCGAGATTCATTTTGAGGTTTTTTTTATTACTGCTCTGACTATCAAAAGTGTGTCATTCTTATAGAGAGGGAAAACAGGGTATCAAACAGTGCACAAAACAGTACGTGCTAGCTTGCTAGCTGCGTAAAATCAAATCCGCGGCTTCTTTCTGCAAGGAGTGTGCTACAAAATCGTGCCGTAAGGAAACTCATACTGGATACACAGTTCCGCATTAACTCTTTGTCTTTTTCACTTTCGCTAGCTGTGTCTAACTGTAAAATAATGTTATAAATATAAAAAAAAAAAATACATTTATTTAATTTCTTTATTCTTTTATTTGTTGTTATGAAAGAAACATTAAAATAGTTTATCATTCTGTCTGTGAATATCACATCTTCCACAGAGATATTGAGTTCATAAATGTATCTCAGTACAAAGCAAATACAAATACTACAACTGACAACAGATTTTAGACTATCTAGTACCAAAGATCATATAAGTACCATACAGTATCTAGGTAGAGTTTCTCTGGTGTTAAGACTGCCCTTTTCAAAAAATGTGGAACTAACAGTCTCTTTAGTGTGCAGAAAAACTTGACTTTGCCATTTTAACCCCCCATAGGACTTGCAGTCTTATCCTTGAGTGTTGTGGCGTTTCAGATCCACCAGGAGAGGAAAAAGTTTCAGCATTGAGGTTTATCCGCTGTACTGTCAGAAGAACCAGGTGGACCAGGTGAAATGGGTTTCCCATGTAGATTTGGTTCAGGGGCCGGGTATGTCACACTGTCCTGCTGCATCTCCGTTCTTGTACCGTCTTTCTCGCTGGTTTCTTTCCCCTTTTCACTTTTCATTTTTCGTGCTTTACCAGTGGCCATGTTGCTTGCAGGGCTCTGTGTTGTTGAATCAGCTCTGATCTTTTGTTCTTTATCACAGTCACTGCACTTTCTGATGGGGTTTTCTTGTCCCTGGTATTGAGACACATCTTTATTGTGGTATACAAGAAAGATCATATGATACAGTTTATGAGATCATTGTGATACTGACATCATAGTATCCAGATTGCAGAAGTTACTGATTGTGCTTGATAAATGAACCACAGCAGTAATGTTACTTTATCTAAAAAAGAAGAAAATAATGTAACCTTTTGCTGATTTGATCTTTCTCGTGGGTAACGTGCGATGCTGTCCATCACCTTGAGAGTTTTGAGCCAGTCCTCATGCCAGCTCCTCACATTATAGTGAGGCCTGCATTGGCTCAGACGGAAGAGGATCATTTGATTCTCCTTGGTAATACGGAGCAACTCCAGCTGTCGCTTCTCCTTGCCAAGGCTACAATGAACAGTAAACACAGGCTTCACAACTGGGTTTTTAGTTTCAAGGGCCACCTTATTTCTTGGCAAAACAACTTGTTGCCTGACTTAAATATATATTTTTATACCAATCGTTCTGCCACAACCTCAGCTAACCTTTTTCTGTCATAATAATTCCTGTTGTCAACTCCTCCAGTCGTCCTCATGATGCGTGATATTTTCTCCATAAGCATATTGTTTTCCCTCTGAATCTTCGTTGTCCATTCCTCTTCAAGCTAAATATAATAACATATGATCAATAACAGAGTATTTACACTACAACATTTATATTCTAACTGAGGTAAAAAACAACAACATTCTTATATTTACTGCACACCACTGGATGGTTTCATTGCTGAAAAATTGGCTGTGACTTGAGGTAAAACCATGAGAGCTAAAACAGCAACCTTTAGTTTTTTCAGCCTGAGAGTCAGGTGGTCATAGGTCTTTGGTGGAGTCGTGTTTATTGTTGGTTTTGCTGACTTCACCTTAGGAGAAAAGAAAACATTGTATAAGGCAGTTAATGGTGATAAAGTGGCTGGAAAAAAAAAGGTTCATTTGGTTGGTGTGTGACTAGAACGAAAGCTTGAGGCAAGTTATTAAGTCACTTCACAAACCAAGGTAAACGTTTCTCCTGACCTTTCCCCTGTGTAAATCATATGAAGCCATGTCCCATTTCTGCTGCAGATATTTGTTTCCAGAGGGAAGCAGGGGTTGATATGCTTGATGCGTCATAGTCCTATCAAGACCAAACAATAAACAAAGATGCAGTACTACAAGTCACCATAAACAAACACATGCATTTTTAATTATGTATAATTTTGCATTAGTGGTATGCTAGCAAACCTAGTCCCTCTCTAACTCACCTCACAGTATGCAGCTGCCCTGGTGTCTCCATATCACAACTCTTCATCTCCCCATAAGAGTGTGGTTCATGCTCTGAAGCGTCCAGGTTGACTGGAGCTCAGAGACTGTGGTCTGTTTTCTGCCAGTCATACATGGTTGCCATGACAGCAGCTGAAGAGAGCGGAGATGAATGAATGGTTTCAAACGATGTGCTTGTTTAGCAAGTTCCACACAGAGAAAGGCATACAGGCATAGAGATAGGCTAATTAGTGAGAAGACTGTGGAGAGAGCGATTGTAAAATGAGCTGCTGTGTGAAGACGCCGTTTCACAGCTGAAAGCTGAAAAAAAGCTGGTATACAAACTGTTTTCGAAATGTGCTCATTCTGTTTTAAACTGTTCATTCCTGCAACGACAATAAAAAAGTGACGCAAATTTTTGAACACTGATCAGACTTAAACTTGCTTAGAATATTGCATTATGAAAACTTGACAGGATTGAATCAATGCAGGCTTCCTGTATTTCTTGTTGCATGCAGACAATTACAGCCTTGGTAACAGTTACTTGGAAACTTAGCCTCAGAGCAACTTAAAGTGACACACTCAGCACAAACGCAGTTTATAGAAGACACACAGAAACTACACACCACGCCTGATTATGAAATAAAAATGAATGTGGAAAATGAAGTTTAAACTTATAAAACTACACTCAATTAAATTGAATACATATACCACATAGCACTGAATACTACGCTATGGTATCATGTTAAATTATGTTATCATGTGAAGTACCCTATGTTTGAGATAGTACAACACAATGGAACACAATTGTCATAGATTGGTTGAATGAATCTCTTTGAGGTGATATGACTTCATGAATGAACATCTATATTACAACACTCCCCCCTACTGACTAGAGTTGGCCATGATGATTTTTGGTGCAACTGAGATCACAACTGTTAATAATTCAAATCCCACGCCAGAATGAACAACCAAAGCACTCATGAAACTGTAATAGATTAAACTCTAATAGATCATTATGTCATGCTTTTTCGTACACCATGATAAACTGAATTTAATGATCAGTACAACAAGATTCAGTATGCTTTTTAAGGACTGGTAAAATGAATATTAATGAATATTAATATGTAATACCTACATATGCATTACCTGTGCAGCCAGCTATTGATATGCAAACAATGTTAACAAATAATTGCACATGTTTAGTTTTATATATATAGAGTATAGAATAATGCAGTTGTGTATAGCTGTAGGATTTGTTGTAAAGCTGCCACGGCAAAGGGCGATTCTTCATGTCTGACATTTTCCCACAGATGCCCTCACAAGCCAATTAATTGTTCCCACAAGTGCTATCACATCTCATGAATGAATTATAGGCAATAAAACGCTTCCAGTCCAATTTGTGACTTTGTTGTAAGAGCAGATGTGTTGACGGGACAGATGGCACATACCAGGGTGATAAAATAGGGACTTCGATCTCCCAAATTCATCCTTTGTGATTCCTTTTTCTATTGCACTTAAAAAAGAATACTTCTTTGTATGTAGCAGAGTCCCAAATGGGGAAACTGCAAAAATCACATGCACTGTGCCTGTAAAACCGATTTTAAATGGTTTTATTATGTGTACCTATAGAAATGACCGATGTTTATGTGTATCACAATGTTCTGTAATTAAGATTTGTTTGATCAACAGAAATAAAACTTCAAAGTGAATATGAATCTCTGTGAGTTGAGAACACAAAATAACTGACTGCAGACGTATTCACCTGCTTTCAGGTCAATATTAAATAGAGGCATGTGTGGCAGCAGTTACAGGCTTTAGTCTATGTCAATAGGTCTGCATCCTGTTAGCACATCTGAACTGATGTCTTTGGCTTACACCAGACAACTGATTTTATATATTAGCTATATATGCATAAGTTTGCAGGGTGCTGGAGCCGATCCTAGCACGCACTTGGTAAGCTTTGGGAAATAAAGAGTCTCTACTGTCGTTCACATAACGTGCATGCCTTTGGTCTGCAGAAACTGGTGCACTTAAAGGAAACAAACAAATGCAAACTCCATACGGAAAAGGAACTTGTTGTATGCACAGAACCTTGTGGCCAACAAGATAGTCCCCACAGGTCTCTTGGTGGCCTCACTAGTATCCTTCTCACACAAATGCTGCTGACTATAGGCTGCTCTCGACAGATTTACAGCTGTGACTCTTTTCCTTTTCATGATTGACCTTACTTGACATAGAGGTCTATTCAGTGCCTCAGAAATGTTCTTGTATCTTTTCCCTGATTGGTACTTTTCAGTTAACTTGACGTGATTTTGTCTAGAATGTTTCTTTGTATTTATGAAGTAATTTTTTTGCCAGGAAACTAAATATAAGAGTGGGTAGTCCTTTCATTGTTTAACAAAAAAAACCCCACTGTCACACCTTGGTTACTCACCACCACCACCTCTAACAACAACCTCTAACCTCTAATCTTAATCACAATTTAAAAGAGGAAAGTAGTCAATTAATTATTGTGTGTCTAATATTATGTAGAGACCTGTTTTTTTCTGTTTATCACTGCCAGAAATCCCAGTTATATTCACTGTGAATGAATGTGGTGAAAAATCCCCAAATAGTCAAATACGTTTTGTAGGTTCTGTAAGTATCATCATCAATTAAGAATCAAGATAATGATGTGTTTAAGATAATGAAGCTTGTTTTCATGTCCTCTTCAGAATGGCAGGGGATGCTACCAGTTCCAGGGAAGTCACTGGTGGAGCTTCCATTGCACTGTGGGAATAAGTGCAAAGAAAGACGGTCTCTTCGGGACAGAGGAAGTACAGCAAAATCGGATCACATATCAACATAACAGAAAAGGTGTTTGTGTGTGTAAACGTGTGTAGTGGTTTTCAGATGAAGCCATGTGTAATGGAAATGATGTAATGTAAAAAAGATAAGGAAGGAGAAATAAAAACTATTGCTATTGAAAAGGGTAAAAAGACAATTCCCAAAAAAAAATAAAAAATCATTTAGTTACATTATTCTCATGTTATTCCAGCACCTCAGATTATCCAACTCGATCACCATTCCGACCAATAGTATAGTACATTGCTTTCATAAGCAATCCAGGAAAGGAAATGACATATCCATGTCCACATAACAGAAGCACCGTCTCCCCTGTTGGCCAGTTCCCCCAGAGCTCATATTTTCTAGTCTACGCCTGTGGCCAAAACCACAATGACATCAGCAGGAGTTTTCTGCATTTCCCCAAGGTCAGGATCACGTTTTTGTTGTTTTTTTAAATCTGTGTGATGGAAAGTGACTACGGTAACGGGACCCATGAGAAGAACCTGGCTCTTAGCCTGCTTGTTAGGATTACTGAGCTGACACCTACAATCAAGGAGCTCTTTTACTAAAAAGACTTTTGTTGATTTATCTAGTGCTGTCCGTCTTAGGTCACACCAGAAATATGGCAGAACATGGTTTTGTTGGAACAATTAAACCTTCATTTTCACTGCATATTTATTACAGTTAGTTGGCTCAAATGTAGCACTTTATTCATACCTTTCAGATCCACAGGCCCCAAAAAAGCGATGCCTTGTGAACAGTCCAGGAAGCGCTTGCCAACAGGTCTCTTCTCTACCCTTTTAAAGCTCTCTTCTCTTCACTCCACTCAGTGATCATCTATCAGATTGGTGTTGATGAAGCATTACTAACACCGCCGTGACCTTTTTAAAAATAGAAACAGACATTAGAGACATCTCTAGGCACACAACTTACTTCTTTTTCTTTTTGGAGTTGACCCTGTTCTGCCATTATCTAGTATGACAGAGAATGCTGTACATTGTCTTTAATCATGAGTAAATGCAGAAAACACAACGTCAATCTTTGATGTTTGACTATTACGTGGGAGTGCTTTCATCCCTTCTTTCTCCCCCTCACCTATTCCTTTCATTGTGCAAAAACCTAAACCCAACGTATAGAGTTCCCCTGGTTAACAGTGACAAAACGTTAACTCTAATAAAATCTGAAAACCCTTCTCACTTGATTTATAGAAAGTAGTTTTAAAGTCAACACAATTTTCAGCTAATGGATGGTAGAATAGGTAACGACTCTGAGGCACTATACTCTCAGCCCTGCTGCTCCATTAATGCTGCTGAGCTACAGAGGAATGGATGCTTTGACTTGGAAATAGGCTTTATCCCTCTAAAAGTGGCTCTTTTGATGACAGTTTGGCGCACACATGCTGCACTTCCTCCTGAATGCAGGAAGTTTGCCCCATTTTAATACTCAAACCCATACAGGCCTATATCCCAGCTAGATCTGCGCTATGAAAGGGTATAAATAATGAAAGATGCAGTCTTTACAAGTTAAAAAAGAACCACAGTGCTGTTATGTAACAGTGGAATGAGTTATGAGGGTAACAAATTAGGCAGAGTGAGGGCCAGTACAGTAACATGCCGGACTAATCGACTGCAGAAAGATAACACAAACGTAGATTTATGCTTGGATTTGTTCTCTTAAATGTAACCTCAGTTTTGTTCACAACTATAAATGTTCTCCTGTTTCCCTTGGCAACTTCACCCCTACTGAACATCTCAGCTTCTTGGTTACTGGCAAGATCCCTTGTCCTTGTCTCTTGGTTTTAAACCTGCAAAAAAACAAACTCATTATCATGTATCTGACAGGATAATGCTCATTGTTTTGTTGTTTAGTAGTGAGCCAATTTTGCCTTGTGTGTGTTTTTACGCTCTGTCTCCTTCTTAAGATTTTCTAAATCTTTCAAAGCTTCAATGTGATGGTGATATAAGCCTGAAGTCATATGCTTACCACCGTTTTTTAACCTGTGTAATACAAATGACAAGAAGAATGATACATTTTTAATAGAGCTGCAACAATCAGTCGATTAGTCAACTATTTTGATAATCAATTTTTTGTTTTTGAGCTACATAGTGTTCTGTATATTATGTAGAATTTAGGACATATTCTTGACATTTTCTAGAGCATACAATCATGTTATAGACTTTTGAATGTATGAAAATAAACTTCAAAGACTTGAGCTAATGCCATATTCTGCATATGTAAGATCTGAAAAGTCTACTGCTGACTTGTGTTCAGGTGCTTTCAAGATTCTCAGAAATCTGAAATATGACACTTGCTGAACAGCGTTGCATTTAAGAGCTACTGTATGTTGTCATGGAAAGGGTAATGAGAATTTCAGTGGTACGTTCATTCAAAAACAACAAAAGCTTCAAAAGCACATTTTGTGACTATATCATAAGAGAAATACACCAGTGAATGTGTGTAGTAAGAATACCACTATCCATCCATGCAGGCTATGGAAGGCAAAATGTACAACATGAAGCAGTTCAAAACATTGAAGGGAGAAAAAAAAGCCTTTTTAAAGGCATTATCTGTTTATAAATTACATCTGAACATCCACCTCATGCCTGACACTCAAAATAACCTGATGGTATCAAATTTATTGTCCACCTACTTGTATATTTTCTTGTGCAAGTACTGCAGTAAGGTAATCTATTATCCTTGCTGTTAAAGTGACTTCTACTATCTGTACAAGATGTACAGGATAAAGACAGTGAATAGAGCCCAACAGAATCAGAATCAGAATCA